GTTTTGTTAAAAGATCAGAGTTTGGTTGGATATAAAATTTTGATTCATACTTTATTCCATTCAGTTTCTGAGAAAATGTTACTTTACTTAGTCTTATTTTGTATGGTTTCCCTTCTTTCCTCCCTCAGTTGTCTTTTTCCTTTGCTCTCAGCTGGAGCATTTGAGAGCCAGTTGCAATTATAACACGTTTTGTACTCCTTAATAATTAACTTTGTATCACCTGAGAATTATCTTACATAATCGAGATACAGCTCTCACAATCAAGAAACTTAACATAAGTATAATGCTGTTAACTGATATAGATAACCCATAATCAGATTTCCCATTTTTGTAATGCTATTCTTTATAGTTGGATTTTGCTTTTCATCTAATACCTCATCAGGGATGACTCAGAAGTCATTGCCCTTGGTTGTTAAGCCTCATTAGTCTCTCCTAATCTAGAAAAATTATCTGTCTACCTTTCTCTCCCTCTATCCTCCCTCTTTCCTCCGTCTCTCCCTTTCTTGCTCTCTCTGTCTCCTTTTGCCCCCCCACCCCACCTCTTTCTCTTCCTTTCCTTTCTTTTCCTTCCCTTGACTTTCTTGGCATGGTTTCCTGTGAGAGTTTTGTAGGCTTGTTTCTTAATTTGGATTTGGTGTGTATGTGTGTGTGTGTGTATGTGTGTGTGAGAGAGAGAGAGAGACAGACAGACAGACAGACAGACAGACTGAGACAGACACACAGAGAGTATGATGTCTTTCTCAGATATGACATCTTTACTGACAGTTTTAAAAGCTATTTTTGTTTTTTACTCTTTTAAATAGGCTTTGTGTTTTAGAGCACTTTGTTTACAAAAAAATTAAGCAGAAATTACAAGAAAATTCCTATATACACCATGCAAACTCCTTCTCCTTACACAGCCTGTCTTACTGTCAGTGTCCCCACCAGGGGAGTGCATTTGTTAAAATTGTTGAATTTACATCGATACAATATTATCAGCCAAAGTCCATGATTTACAGTGTACATTCTGGGTATGGTACATTTATTTTATGAGTTTTGAAAAGTATTTAATAACAGTGTCCACCATTATAGTATCACACAGGTTAATTTCTGTGCCTTAACCCTCTGTGTAGTACCTGTTCACTCCCCTTTACTCCAGCCACCACTGACCTTTTTTCTGTCTTTGTAGTTTATTTTTTCATGAATATCATATAGTTAGAATCCTACAGTATGTAGCTAGCTCTTTGAGATTGGCTTCTTTTACTCATTAATGCACATACAAGATTTTTTTTCCCCTCCTTTTCACATCTTAATAGCTAATTTCTTTTTAGTCTTGAATTAGGTTGTCTGGAAGTGTCACTATTTATGCACCCAGGGAAAGATATCTTGGTTGTGTTCACATTTAAGTAATTATGAAGAAAGCTGCAGTAAATATCTGCATGCAGATTTTTGTATGGGCATAAAATTTTCAATTCATTTGGTTAGAAACAGAGGACCTTTATCGTTGGATTGTACATGAAGATTATGTTTGGTTTCACATGAAACTGCCAGACTCTCATTCTATAAAGGGGAATTTGATATTTAGGAATATTTAGTCTTAAGTATCTGTGAACATGAAATGTTTTCCATTTATTTGGTTCTTGTTTGTATCTGATTTCAAATGTGAAATGTTCTTTTATATCTATATTGCTTATTCTTATGTAATTTATATTTCTTAAATGCCAGTCTCTTTGAGTGAGTGTGTGTGTGTGAGAGAGAGAGAGAGAGAGAGAGAGGGAGAGGGAGGGAGGGAGAGAGAGAAATTTTAATTCACTGAAAAGTTGTCTTGCTAGGCTTATTAGGTATTTCTTTTAGGTACTCTCTGCATTATATTATTTGTATTAGAGTTTCTGTAGATGCATAAATGTGGGTTTGGGTGCCTTGCTTTGTTTTATAATTTCCAAAAGCCTATACATACATTTAACAAGTAATGTTCATTTGGTCCTATTTTATACACAGAAATCTCAGGATTATTAATTAATTGCTTCATTCTGTCCCTCCATATATACTTCTTTTTTAAAGGTGCATTCCCACCCCCAGCATTTTTCTCAAGATTCTCACTTTTGCTAACAGTCCTTTCCAGAATTCTTTCCTTTGAGTTTCCATGGCAAGTGCTTTGATTTATTAAGTCCCAAATCTTTCCTTAGAATTTATCCACTAAGAGTTGGACCCTGTCTTGGGCATGAGCCTCAGTTGGTGTTAATTGATTTTGCCGTCTCCATCATGTTTTTCTGTTTTACACAGTCCTCATCTTAACTGTACTTTGGGTTTGTTCCAAAGTCTACCTAGTTGCTCTCAGATTTTACTTTCCTGATTCCATGTAAAATGAAGTGTTATTCTCTATTTCCTATGTATGCCATAGGCATTAATTATAAATGGTTTTCTTTGCTCTCTGTGATGATCTGTGTGTTTTCAAAGGTATGTGGTGAGATTGAAATTAAGATGGCTGCTATTTGAAAACAAGGAATTCTACACCTTTATGTATGTTACTGCTGAGTGTCTTGGTGTAGCTATCAGATTGAACCGTTTAAAATTGTACCATATGGTTCAAGAACTGTTGAATATCATCAGCAGCTTCAGCTAGTTTTAACTAATGGAAAGATAAGCAAGCTTTTAATTCTTGTTTCATGCCTTATTGAAATGCTATATGATAGACATTTTAGAGTTAATTTGAAGTTGATTAAAAACTACATTTTAACTACATTACATATAATAAATTGTTGAAGTATAATTTATGTACAGTGAAATACACCTAGTATACAATTCAGTGGATTATTTTTAATAGTTTATATTTATGTAACTACTACCACTATTAAGACATAAAATTTCTGTTACTCCGTAAAGTTCTCTTTTGAGTCAAGCCTACCACCTCAGGCAACTGCTAAAGTTCATTCTCATGTGAGATTTAATGTGTAAAGGCCTCATTTTTAGATTGACCTGTGATTCTTGCATGATCTAAAGCTTGCTTACCTCTCCAATGTTATTTGGCTACCATTTCTTTTTATATGTGTGCCAGTCTCAAGGACTTTTCATTTGTGAGTTCATTCAACCATCTCCTTTCTGCCTGCTAGTTTAAATGTCACATACCTTGAACTGAGGTAGATTTCTACAGGATCCGTTCTGATTTCTTTTTCCATGACTTTATGGTATCCTCTCTGCCTGGAAAGCATTTCCCTCCTTAACTAACATTCTCCTTGTCTGAGTCATCCCTACTTATCTTTGTAAAATCAATTTATATTATTGATTTTAGATTGGGTTAGATGTTTCATTTATAAATAAATATAACATATGTATATCTTTGTTTTTCTTAATTGTATTTTCTTCATTTATATACTTCCCTGTGCCCTTCAAAAGCCAGAGCTTCTTGAAGGTTGCTTTGCTATCATCTATGTTCCTCCACACATGAATAGGTGCTTAATAAATATTTGATTAATAATGAATGCATTTCAGCTCATATATATAATTTAAACTAAATCTACATGGGATAAGAAATGTTACATAGTAGGAATTTTAAAAATGAAATTGAATAATGCCATCTGTATATATGTGAGGGAAACTGTTGGTTCCTTCAAATCGTATTTCTGCTTGCTATAACAAGTTAAATGATTTGAATTCTTTCTTTGTCCTGTGTTTCTGGCACTTCACCAAGCGATGTTTGTAGAGAAAAGTAATATGGCTTTGTTGTGAAATATAAGCTATGTACAATACTACACAATGTGATGTATTTTGAGAATCTATAGAGATATAAAATTTATCCATATTCTATCCTTTAAGTAGCTTTAATAAGTATATCAGTTATAATTTTTCAAGTGTGTATCTCTTGTCAGATTGTAAGCACAGGAACCAGAGCGCAGCCTCACTAGTCATTTTTACTTAAGTTTCTTGGCTAATAAGTATTTGAGCTAATAAATAGCTAATAAATGTTTTAGTTGATTCTGTCAAGGAGGGCTCACAGTGCTTCCAGACAAGTAGAGCTTCCTACAGGATGGCATACTTGGAGAGGACATGGGAGCTCCTTGCTCCTTCCTACATATCTCACCCTGTGCATCTCTTTATCGGTGTTCTTTGTAATATCCTTCATAATAAAACAGTAAATGTGTTTCCCTGAGTTTTCTGAGCCATTTGAGCAGATTAAACCAGAGGAGGGGGGTGTGGGAACCCTGTTCATATCCAGTTAATCAAAAGCACAAATAAAACAACTGGGAACTTGTGATTGGCATGGCATCTTCAGTGGGTGGGAGGACTAAGTCTTTATTTTGTGAGGTCTGCTTAAGTCTTTGTGGCTGAGCCTTCAACACTCCCAAGTTAAATAATGTCAGAACAGAATTGTGTTAGAGGACAGCAAACTGATCTCCCCTCCAGAATTAATTGCTTTCTTACTGGTTTGGAGAAATCCCCACCTTTTGAGGTTACAGGGGTCTTTCATGTTTGTTGTTGTGGTGTGAGAGAAGAAAAACAATTTGGTTTTTCTAATACAGTATGATACCATTTTTACCTGAACTAAATTTTCTTATGCCTTCTCTTAAAGCAGATAAAAGAAAACATAACCTTTTAATGTATTAATGACTTGACTTTGCTTTCATAAATCAAGAGGAACCTCAAAACAACTATTAAATTATCTGCAAGTTGGATCAAAATTAATTCTTGACTACTAATATGTTGTTTCTGGATACTGTCACTGAATAGCAATTATCTAATCTTTGTTAGTGAACTTATGTTTTAGTTAAAATTAAATAAAATATATACAGATACATCTATATTCCTGAACAACATTTTATTAAGCATATTTGATTCTCATGGTTGTATAATAATTTTAACAATTTTAAGTACTTAAAAGTTGCTCAAACTTGCCTGTGTTTGACATTTTAAAAATGGGATTATCTTGAAAGTTTCCCATCTTGATTAATAAAGGCTAATATTTTTTCATTTTATTTTATTGTCACATCCAGTATTTTAAAATATAACTTTATTTTGACTTTCAGTGTATGTAGAGAATATTTCCAAAATGGTGGAAAGAGAAAAGCACTTGAAAAAGATGAAAAAAGAGCTATACTCACCAATAAGACCACTCCAGCCTTAAACACGCATGAGTCTTCTAAACTTGAAGGACATTTAACCAATCTCAACTTTACAAACCCTGAATTTATAACTGAGTAAGTATTCTTTTTCTGCTTCAATTAACATTACTCTAGGTAGCTGTATCAATGTAAAAATAATATAATGGCTTATACCAAATAGTGAACAGTTTATTTTCTCCTCTGGTAATATGTTAGGCTGATATATACAAATTTAAATTTTTAGGTAGAAAACCAGGATGACATTTTAAGAAATGTTTGGAAAATTAGTGGTTCTATATAGTATGTGTTGTTTTCACTAAAAATGAGAAAGAGTATACATTATATGTTCTTATGATAATACGAAGAATCAAAATAGTAAAATGCAGTTAAACTCTTTAAAGCAGCTACCCACTAAGAAATTACAAATAAGGAAAAATATTAAAAAGATGATTTTTTTTTTTTACATTTCGAATGTTTTTGCATTTTTTTCTCGAGTTTATTGGTACTTTTTAGGTATACAGTACCATTATGTTCATCATTGGGATCTTGTAGCTTTACATGATAGGTCTTGGTTCTCATTTTTCCCCATACCTCTGCCCTCCCTTCACCCCCTCCTCCCTTCCCTATTTACAAAAACGTTTTTCCAGTTTTTTGTTTTCTCATAATTTTTCTTTTCCCTTATTTCCTTTCCCCTACCCTTCCCACTTCCCTTACACTTTTAGTCCTTTTCTTCCTATTTCACATTGTCAGTTATACCATTTGTATCTTATTTACACTTTTAGTTTTTCACACCAGAGAAACTATTCATTATTTACACATGTGACTTATTTATTTCACTTAAGAGTATGACCTCAATATGCATCCATTTTCCTGAGAATGAGTCTAATTTCTCATTCTTTATGGCTGAGTAGTATTCCATTTTATAGAAAAACCACATCTTCTTTATCTAGTCTCCAACTGATGGGCAGTTGGGCTGTTTCCAAATTTTAGCTATTACAAACTGTGCCACTATAAACATGGGGAAAGATTATTAATAGTAACTATCATTATTTTATTGTTGGTCAAAAATTTGCCTCCTAGTAATTTATTTAAAGAGGCACAAATTTTGTAAGTACATGAATATTAGAATCCAGTTAATTATTGGTAGTGTTAAAATTATTTATATATTTTAGTGCCTGAATGAATTTTTTGTATCAAGTAATAGTTAATCAGTTACCTGAAAAATGAAAAATCCAAATCTGGAAAAGTTCTTGAGAAATGCTGAAAACTAACCATGAAAGTAAAATTAAACTCTTGGTTTCACAACTTTAGATATCAATATGGTATTACCTTGTTACTCTGATTTTATGCATGTTAATATTGTCTAGTTTTAAGCAATTCTTTTTTGGGGGGGTACCAGGTATTGAACTTGGGCTCTTGCGTTTTCAAGACAGGCAGTAGAACCACTGAGCCAAATCCCCAGCCCCAAGCAATTCCTTTTTAAAATGAATTAATATACCGTTGATTAGTTCAACAGGAAATGATAAGGCACCTGTATCTTTATTCAGAGACTACAAAGATCATAAAACATAACTTATTAAATATCCATATCTCAGATGTTATACACATTTTGAAATATTTTTAAAGTATTGGCCAATATGGGTAATTAATTATATTTCTATCAAAAATGAGTTGATATGGAAAGCATCAGCTCTAGAATTTCACATCATTCTTTTTTATAATCTCTGTTCATTATTTAAAAATTTTTTTTGGCACCAGGGTTCAAACTCCGGTCCTTGTGCTTGCGAGGCAGGCGGTAGAACCACTGAGCTAAATCCTCCCTCATTATTTAAATTTATTTCTGAATTGAAAGCTCAGGGTCCTGAATTCAATCATCGGCACTGCAAAAAAGAAAAGTTATGCAGTTATTGTTGTCATATTTTCCTTTGTTCTTTAAACGTGGTTTTTATTTTTTGAGATGGAAAATCATTATGTTACTTAGGCTGGCCTTGAGCTTCTGGGCTCAGGTAGCTGTCTTACTCAGTTTTGCAATTAGCTTGGATTATATGAAAGGACTGTAGCCCTCAGCTTAACATTATAATCACTGCTTTGAAGTTTTCATCTGTTAAATCCTACTTTAGGCTTACTAAGAGTAAACTTCTATTTATTGCCCTTTTTTCCTCAGCATGGGCCATGCTTTTCTGTTTTTCTTTGTGTGTCTCATAATTTATGTTGAAAACTGAACTTCATTGCTAATACAGTGCAGAAACAAACATTCTTTTTGGATTTTTGTCCTAAGGGCTTCGGGCAGAATAGTTTTAGTAATTTACCTGGAATGAATGTGTGCAATATGTGCTGATATCTGTTGTTTTTTTAGCTTTAGATTTTTTTCTTTTTTAATTGATTTTTTAGACCTCTTTGTAGAATTTGCACCTTGCACAATTCATTGTCAAAAACAGTAGGTCAAAGATTGCCCTCTGTGGACTAGGAATGCATGTAGCTCAGTGGCACAGCTCCTGCTTGGCAAGCATGAGGTCCTGAGTTTGATCCCCGGTACAAAAAGAAAAAAAGGATTGCACAGTATGTCATGGTAGTACAGCCCTGTGATCCCTGTTTGGGAGGCTCAAGCATGAGGATCACAAATTTGAGACCAGCCTGAGAAACTAAGCAAGACCTTTTTTTTTTTTTTAAAAAAAAAAAAAAGGCCAGGGTTAGAACACCCCGGGGTTCAAAAACTTCCAGTCAGTAAAACTTAAAAGCTCTGTCTTCCGTGTGTATGTTGATTGAGGAGCACATTTAAAATCCATGCAGTTTTCATATCAGTCTCACTTGCTTTCAGCCAGTCCCTCTAGTCTCCCTTGCACATTCACACAGCCTCTGCACCAGCCTGGGCTGCACACATTCCAGGATCTTTATAGTTTTTTACTAGACCTTCATTCTACATCTCAGCCAACCTAGCACTCCTTAGCAACCTTAGACTGTCATAGCTGACACTCCCTGCTTGTTTTTACCAAGTTTTCTATTTTCTCCTTTTTTTTTTTTAATTTTGTTTGCTCCCAAGCTGGGTATTTTTATTTATGATCTTTGTGGCTGGGCTTGACAAGTTTTCTATTTTCATTGACAGTGCTATGTAGGTTTTCACTTTTTGCCCTGCATTAAGTTAGTCCCCTGCACGCAGCCCTGCAGTGAAGCTATTTTCCATAGCCAGCCATGACCAGGAAGAATTTGCATCAGCGTATGAGGGTAAGGACAGCAGCTCCAGGCCATGAAACCACAGGTCTCCACTGTTCTAAACTTGTATTCAGCTGGTTTTCATAAACAAACATTTTTCAACTTACTTGTCTTTAAGCTCTGGAATGGTTTTTTTTTTGATGATTTTTTGAGGATAAGATTATTTACCAACCTTTTATTCAACCGTATTCATACATCCTTTTCTCTGAGTTAGTCATAAAGTGGAAAAATTAATTTGGTTTTATATCCAAATGGAATTGTTATTAAGTCAGAATTTACTTAGTATTAAAGATAGAGACTTAGCCGAAGATGAGTAGCTTTAGATATTTTGCATTCTAGAAACTTATTAGTATGGCATCTGGCACCAACATGTGTATATAGAGTCATTCTTCTTGCTGTGCTCACTATTTTAAAGCTTGTATTCTAGTCATATGGAACCATTTTACATTCTCCTAATGAGATGCATGTTTAATTTCACTTTCTGGCAGTTGCAAATGCAATATATCCTCTTTCTGATAAATGATTGCTCTGTTAGACTATATTTGAAGCATTGTCTCTTTTCAAAAGAATCGATATTTTTTGCTTGCAATGTTCAACTTTTCTTATACTTCTACTATAGGTTACATTAGGTACATTTCTAGCCTTTTCACTAGGCATTTTTAAAACATAGTATAGACCATATCACATAAGGAACTTTGTAAATCTTCCTATGTCAAGAGAACAGTTGTTGTGCATAACATTTCTTCATGAAAATTTACCACTGTGTGTGTCTAAATATGACGTGATTCTGAATAGAAAATAATACCCAATTTTCAAAGAAATCCCTTCCCTTTAGTACTCTACTTATTCACAGATATTACCATATAGGAAGGTACATATGATAATATCCAAATCTATTTGACTTCTGACTTAAGATATTATAAATTATCTTTTTTCCCAGATTTATCTCAAAGTAACTAATGAAATTATTTTCATTTCTGGGTTCAGATAGTGGCAAGTTCACATAGTAAATATATCTTTTATTCTCTAACTTACAATTTATGAAAACCAAATTAAAAACCCAGTGTTTGTTACTACTAGAGCTTCTTTGAAGTCATCAGTACCTCAAAATAAGATACGGTGCTTTTAAAATCTGTGTCTGATGTGATTGCTGGAAATTTTATCCCAAACCCAAATTCCCTACTTCATGTAGTATGCATGTATTTGTAATTGATCTGAAATGAAAAAATGGAAATAAAGTATTTGCAAATAGGGAAGGGAGGAGAAGTTGAAGGGAGGGCAGGGGTAAGAGGAAAAAATGAGAACCAATACCTGTCACATAAAGGTACAAGACCCTAATGATGAATGTAACTGTACCGTATACCTAAAATGTACCAATAAACAGTGAGAAAAAAATAAATAAAATAAGTACTTAACTTTGCTGCTTTTTAAAGTATTTATATTTTTTTCAAAACATTCTTCAGAGTCCCCAAATTTAGAGATCCAGTGCAAAAATGGGCATCTGAAATGAACAGACACTTCTCAGATGAAGAAGTAGAAATGGCAAATAAATATATGAAAAAGTGTTCAACATCACTGGTCATTTAAGTGATGCAGATGAAACAAGGCTGAGATTCACCTCACTCCAGAAAGAATGGCTGTTATCAAGAAATCAACCAGTAACATGCTGGCAGGGCTATAGGAAAAAATGAACCCTTCCTCAGTGTTGGAGGGAGTGCAGACTGGTGCAACCACTGTGGAAATCAATGTGAAGATTGCTCAAAAAACTAAAACCACAGATTCCATTCAACCCAGGTATTTCCCTTGTTATGCTCCTGAAAGAATTAAAAACATCATGCCACAGTGCACACCCATGTTTATAGTGGCACAGTTCATAATAGCTAAAT